CAGTTGCTGCTCGCTGCTTTCCCAAGCAATAACAGAAGCAGAAAAGTGGCATGAATGCTGACAACTTGAGGGTTATGGACAGCAGCAAATAAAACCTGTCAGAATGTGTTAATTTCATGGCATAAATAGCAGCAAAGGCACTGGAGTTATCTGTGTGCAACTTCAGGGACAAAAGTTACATTTAGTTCCACACTGGAAGATGATCTATGCAGGTATACAAAATTAAGTACCAGAGGACCCCTCGCCCCCAGGGGTAAACCAAGTTTCAAGCTTTGCTATAGATCTAGATATTCTTTACAGCTTTTAGAAAATAAAACAAAATATACAACAGCTTAAAGTAAAAAAAAAATTAAGTGAACAATCTAGGCTCCTAATTACAGCAAGAAAAAGCCTTACCAAAAAGACCTATAAAGGAAATCTAACAGAAAGTTGGCTAAGGCATTTTGTATAAATGGAATCCAACTTTTAATGTGGAAAATATTTTCCAGGTTGTGTTATATATCCAAGAGTCTAAAACTGGCCCTATGATTATGTGCCACACCTTGGGTTGAAGCTGCATTTCTTAGTTTCAATGAATCACTCAAAGTTGAAACCAGTCACAGATCACTAGGAATGGAACATGAAAGGTTTTGCTGGTGCTATTTGGAGGTTCTCACTGGGCTGTCACTGTGCAGCATCATGTGTTTAGGACGTAACACTCCTAATGAGGCACAGATGAAAGACATTTTTCATGAGACAGGATTTCTTAAGGACAAGTAGTTCAATCTGTCAGACATTTGTGCAGAGTATAAACCCCACACTTCTACAAGATTAGCTAGTCCAATCTAGTGCAATGAGGCATTATGTTGGAGGAATATATACTCCCTATAGGATGTAATAATGCCCATTATTCTAGAAAATGCACCTTTAAATAGGCTTCCAATGAAGAGTTCTTGATGGGCGTTACAAGAAGTGGCTGCACAGGAATACTCACTTGTCCCCGATTTTCACTTCATGAATTCTGCTCTTGAGTATGTCCTTATTTAAGGGCACAATCCTGAAGTCAAGTTAACTGCTAAGAGCTGTGATTTGGCCAAAACTAGTAAATTATGCTCAATTTTAAAGCAACAGTTAAGTGTTTTTTGTGGGGTTTTTTTAATTCTACCTTAAGGTGACATGCTCATTACCCTTCAGATGTCTAATCAGAAGGAGACTGGATGACTCCAAGGGATTGATAAAGGGATGCAGAGCCTCTCATTTCTCTGTCATAGTTTGAGCCCAGCTCAAATCAGGTCTCATAAGCTGTTACTCAAGTGGACTGGGTAATTTGGACTAAATGACCTTCTGAGGTCCCTTCTAGTCCTACTTTTCTATGATCCTACTAGCAAACTGCCCGTCAAGAATGACAGGGGGAGGGGTGGGGGGGGAGGGAAAGCTTGCTAACCCTAACCCCCACCTCTCGCCCCACCATCCCCTCTGTCCCCCTCCACCAACATCTCACGCTGCCACTGGCTCCAAGGAGCAGGGCGGGGGGGGAGAAAGCACGAGGCCAGCACCGCTGGCTTCGCCCCTGCACTCCATCCCTGCCATCATGGCAGCACTCTGGTGCCACCTCCTGTCTGTAATCCTCTTGGAGCACTCTGATTGATTGTTTTAGTAACCAATCGGAGTGCTCCAAGACTATTACAGACAGACTTTTAGAAAGTTATGCAAGTGGAGATGTGAATGTGAAAGACAAAATGACTTAACCTCTTTTAAGCCAGTCATTAATGCCTTGTGAAATCTGTTCCTATAGCCCAAGACTTAATCAAATATAATATGATGTAATGAGGTATAAACCAGTTTGTTAATTTTAGTCACAGCCATTTAAGATGCCTATGGCTATAACACAGGCAGCCACTCTAATTCCTGCAAATAGTGCAACCCATTTGGCATCTTCCATTTATCTCAATATTAAAGGCATGCTGTGACAGAGCACCTTTGGTGCCTGCCACATTAAGGTCAGAAAACAGGCAGCAGCCAGGTGCCTGAGGAGAGCAGCCATGCTGGACCCAGGGACGTAAGCTGGGCTGCAGTTTGCTACAGGAGGAAGGAGGTAACATCAGGCTAAAGGGCTGCTCCAGCCATAGTCAAGAGGTATGGGCAGGGGCTGTGGGGTGGAGGTGACCCCTTGTCTTGGGTAAGACGTAAAACTGCACCCTGCCGGGGAAGGGCAGTCTGGTGGGGCCCCTAGTGGTGTGGGAGCCCCCAGGTGATGCCAAGCCAGTTACCTCCCCAGTGAAAGGCGGGTCAAGGCACCTCATAACCCCAGCCCCACATCCCTGGTGGCATTCTAATGAGCAGGGGGAGCCCAGGGCTCATTAAGGAGCCCTGAGGCAGAGCTCAGGCCACAGGAGGGACCTCAGGCTGCGCCCAGGCAGCAGGGAAAGTCTGGGGGCACAAGTGAGACCCTGAGTGAGAGGAGCAATGACCACTGTGGCCCCGTGAGTGTGGGAAAGTGAGGAGGCCCAGTAGAGGCATAGTGGCTGAGCGAGGGGCAAGAAGCGAAATAGGCCTATAGTTGTACAGTCGCTCAGTCAACGCTCAGGTGAGGGTAGCAGAGACACCCAACAGACTGCACCGGGGCTGACTGAGGCAAGGAGAGCTAAGCCTGAAGCCAGGTGAGGCCAGGCAGGATGAGCGTAGCCCTGAGAGAGAGCAATATTAAAGAAGCTGAGTGAGAGCCAGTGGGTAAATGGGACCCCGGTGAGAGAGGGGTGGCATGTGAGTGGCCCGCCGGGGCTGTAGAAAAGGACTACAACTGTGTGCCCGCTTTGCCCGGCCATAGGCCAAAGAAGTAACACTAGAGTAACATCTGCGAGGTATGGGATCCGTGGAGGGAAGGTTGGAGCGAGTATTAAGCCCTTGTCAGCAGGGCAAGTAATGAGTAGCCTCCCATCTTAGTAACAACTCTCATATTTTTCCATCAAGGTGTGGCAAGAGAGCGAAGTGGGCGGTTACACCAGGAGCAGGGCAGCTGGCAAAGACCTAACGAGGAGGCCACCTTGTTACACATGCCTTAAGCCATAATAAGTGTCAGCTAGTTTGTGCAGATACAGCAAATGTCTTATGTCTCCTTTCAGAGCTATTTGCCATTCAAAACTGTGACGGTGGCATGCCGCCATCACGGGCACAGACTGAGGTCAGGAAGGGTTGCGGGGCAGACACAACCCCGAGACAGAACCCCAGGCGGGGTTACTTACCTCCGGAAGAGACGGCGGCATCAGAGCCGAGACCGCGGCAGCAGCTGCAGCCGCAATTACAGCCGCATGAGCCAGCATTACGCCAGTTATTTAAGCAGCTGTTCCTGGTGAGGGAAACAGCTGAGCCAATCGGCCGCCATGGGAGAGTTTAAAAGCCCCGACAGCACCCGCGGACAGGGGGAGCGAGAGAGAGAGAGAGAAGGCGGGCAGCACGTCCGGTGTGCTGCAGCTCCCCCTTTGGAAAGGCTCCAGCTAGGCTGTGCTGGACCCACGCTGAAGCTGAGGCAAGGTTTGGAGCCTCTGACAGAGGCAGGGGGGGGCGCAAACCATGGCAGGTAGCAGGAAGCTCCCTGTCCGGCCCCACGTAGGGAGCAGAGAAGTACCAGGATCCCTCTCGGGAGGAGGGAATCAGGGGGAGCAACAAGGCACCCTGCACGGATTAGCAGGGCCCCTAAGGGAAACAGAGACAGGGATAGGTGGTGGAGTCCCTAGGGGTCACTGTGTCCCGGACACCAGTCCGGGAAGTCTCCCCGCCCAGGCAGAATATTATTTCTAGAGGAAAAGGGAAGGAAGAAGGACCGCCAGAGCTAGCTGAGGAGCCAGCGAGAGTAGAAGACAGGCTGGCCCAGTGATATCGCTAGGCCTGGGTCCCCACAGT